GTTTTTTTTACAATAATATTGTTATGAGCTTACTTTAAAAGAAAATATTTTCAACTGTTTAGTTCGATGTTCTTTAAAAGCGTGTTTTTTGGTTTTTTTAAACCATATTTATCTATGGCTGTTGTTGCAGTTGAACCATCCGCTTGTGTTAGTGGTGGAATTGTGGATTTTGTAAAGTTCTGATTAACAGCTTTAGCTACCGACCAGAAGGATCTAGACCCATTGGGATTGGCAAGCAGTTTACATAATTTTACTAATCGAGTTGTATGCAAATCATATGAACTTTTTCTATCCATCAACAAAACTGAAAACTCTGTCGAATTCAAAGATAAGATTATGTCAACTGCAAGGGAGTAGTTAAATTTCAATGAATTATACCAAATCGAAAATATAACTCGAAGCCTGTATTCATAAGACTGTTCAAGTCCATAATTTTCTGCCAAGTCAATAACGAGACAGAAAATCGATCATTCTAATGAACTGAAGGTATATAACATTTTGGAGAGCGTAGTCCAGTTTATTAAGTCTCCCAAATCAATTAGACGGTATTGCCATACTGGGTAAAAGTTTTCAAACTCATCATTTTGTTGCTTCCTCACAAGTCAGTGAATATGCAGTACAATCAACAAATACTTCACTCAATTCGACAACCTCACTTGATGCCAGGGACAATTTCAAATTTGTCGCAATAGAGAAAACTCCAAGAGGAAAACTGGCATTCCGTTAAAATAAACTAACTTCAATTGCAAAGGTCAAACGCGCCGAATTTTGGCCTGATTCCAAAATCCGATTGCAGCGAGTTCCATCGTTTCCTAGATATATTTCTGTACCTTCGCGACGGGAAAAATAGCATTCCTAACCCATTGGCGCCGCCTATTATAGAATAATCTGCATTTTGTTGAGGTTGGTCAATTAAAACAAGACAGGGTGATAGTTGAAAATACTTCTGAATACTACTTACTCACATATATATACAATTAATCGCTTCAAAAACACTTCACTAATTTTCTTTGAAAGCTTCTGATAATTCCTCTTCCATATTCTCTGTTTCACTATCACTGTCGTCATTTAATTCAATAATGAATTTATTTCCACTATTAATATGGAAGTGTTCAATCTCCATATAGTCATTTTCAACTAAAATTACTTTTTTAATCCTTTTCTGCCAATCTTCTTCGGTAATATTAGACTTCTTCTTTAATTAGCTCTATTACATTCTTATCAAATTTTGGAAAATTATTTTTCTGATGCTTTGTTTCGATTTTCCCCAAATCAAAATAGGGGGGAAATCTCAGTATGATGTGTCCATACTTTTCAGCAATACTCTCAAGGGCATAAACTTTTTCAAATTTTTTGTCCGTAAAACTTCAAATTTTTATCCATTTAACCCATTGGGATTGGCAAGCAGTTTACATAATTTTACTAATCGAGTTGTATGCAAATCATATGAACTTTTTCTATCCATCAACAAAACTGAAAACTCTGTCGAATTCAAAGATAAGATTATGTCAACTTTGGGATCAATCAGCCATATATTGTTTAGAAAAAAGATCATTGATTTTTTCCGATTCCGGAGAAGGAACCTGAAAATCAGCTAGCAAGACCAAGGCAGCAGGCGCGCAAAGGAGTTTACAAATAAGGCAGCAGGCCTTCATTTCAGAGTGATCCTAAAAAAACGAGAGAGCGAACGAACCGCCACTGGCACATGTCCAACAGTGCAGCGTGACATCACAACAGCACATGAGCGAGCGAACGAACCGCCACTGGCACAAGTCAAACAATGCAGCGTGACATCACATCGGCACGCGCGTGAATTTTTCTGCAAAGCAAACGCTAAGACACCGGAATACAATCCCGAACATACAAGAACATTTCGAAAAGCGCTAAACTGTAGGAGCAAATTCAATAAGTTTGTGGATTGATTCAGAACTAGGGATAAATTAGAGGCAATATAATTGTTCATTTGTAATTTTGAATTATCAAATAAAGTTATTGAATTTGGTTAATCATACAACTTCAGTTTCGGAAGAGTTATAACTATTCCTTCTTTAGAACACTGAATACACGTCATAAAAGCAACTCTTCCTACAAACTTCTATAAGCAAGTTTATTTGTTCGAAACGCTTCTAGAAATTTAACGTTCTTTTGTTTACGAATCATCAACCTTCGATATCAATTATTCACCTGTATTAATGAAATTATTCTAATTACATAATGCTGAGTACTTTTTGCTGTCTTTATATACTTGATAGACAGTAAATTGATTTGTGTACATGATAAATATTGTGAATCACTTTGTTGATAGTTGGTCTTCAAGTTTAATTACATCTTGTCAACTAAATAAAAAAAAATCGCTGAAATACAGGTTCAAAGGTTGACAAGAGAAAAGAATATTGGAAATATCAAGGATAAGAAATCAATGCTTCCTTGTGAAACCGTTTTGATTGGTAATTGTTGGGATGAAGAAGTAGACAATAGAAATGTTAATGATCTACTGTTTTTACCACTATCAAGGCCAGCCGAACCACTTTGCATAATTATTTGTTTCAAGTCATAATTTTAGGTTACTTTCAGATTAATTTTGTACTCTATTCCCGAATGTCTTGCTCCTGATTTTGAACTAACAGAACCCAACTGGAAAAAATATTTTGTCTAATCGTACTATGCAATAATTTCATTCATGAGACATCTAAAGTCTATCCAAATCCAAGATAGAGTAAAACAAAACAAAACCGAAGCGTGATGTTTACGTGATCGCCCAGTGTCAGATGGAAAGGGAGCGTTCATTGGTGAATTCGTCTTCTTGGTACGAGTTCGGTACGAGTTCGTGCGTTATAGTATATTGTTTAAATTTGTTTTCCAAGATGTCCAGTACAGACACTGCTGATGACACTTTGAGCTATCCTCTGAGTCCAGCCAGGAAACGAACCAAAAAAAAGACATTTGAGTGTTGAGATGAAAGAAGTGATTTTAAATGTGTTCAAGAAAGAGATGGAAGAAATTGAGACATCGACTGTCGACGAAGTCGTATCGAAAGTTTCCGATAAAATTGGAGTGTGTTGCGCTTCGATTTACAATGTTTTACGGGAATATAAACAAAATCATACATTTTCCAAACCGAATACAAATCAGAATCGTCAAACCATTATAAAATCAATAGATGATGCTGATAAACATGCAATCAGGAGGAAAGTGCATGAGTACTTTTTCAGAAATGAAATACTCACGATAGACAAAGTACTCACAGAAATAAATGAAGATGTTTTATTGCCAAGTTTTAAGCGGTCAACATTCCATAAAGTATTGAAACATTTGAATTTTGTATGGAAAAAACGAGGGCGCAATAGTTTATTATTGGATAGAGAGGAAATTGTGTTATGGAGGAGAGAGTATTTGAAAATTATAATGAACAACAGAGAACAATTTATTATATGGATGAAACCTGGGTTAATGCTGGTCATACTACCCCTAAAGTAAGGGTCGATAAAACTGTGACCTCGTTAATCCTTAGCTCGCACAAGTTTCGGCTTCTGAGGGTTGTCGTTCGTAGGGGTGCGACAGCTGGTTACCGGAAAAACAGATTTTAAACAGATTTTTTAAACAGATATACCCATAATTCGTTACCAGTTATGACCGTTTTGAGCAAATCTGGATCGCCGTTAATAAAATTTTTTGTGGAAAACTGAATGTTTACAAGTAGAATAAGCTTTTCACAGAAGGTTGAGAAGATGTGAATGAAGACTCTCGCTATGGACTCCCCAGCACATCAACAACAGATGAAAATGTTGAGGAAGTGAAGAAAATTGTTAGGAGAATCATCGTATCATTATTAGAGAAGTTGCTGAGGATATCCTTGGTTGACTCATGCTATGCAATTTTTTCGAAAGTTTTGGGCATGAATCGTGTGTCAGCGAGGTTCGTTTCAAAATTGCTGAATTAGACCGTGAGTATCGCCCAGAAATGATTGAATAACGTCAACAGGATCCAGCTTTGCTAAAAAGGGTCATAACTGGTGATGAATCGTGAGTATATGGTTATGACTTTGAAATCATAGTCCAATCATCCCAACGGTAGAGCCCAGGAAATCCAAGACAAAAAAAACACGCCAAGTTGGATCAAATTTTTAGGTTCTGCTCACTGTTTTAGTTAATTACCGTGGCATAGCGGATCAGGAGTTTTTGCCACAGAACTGCTTCGAAGATTGGAAAAAACGCTGGCACAGGTGTATTATATCTGAGGGGGACAACTTTGAAGGGGATAAAACTGAAAATTCACCTTAATCATATTCTGGACATTCCACAAGTATATGTTGTATTGTTAGTTCTGTTTGACATGTAATACATAAAGTTGTTGTTTTCCTAAGAGCAAGTGAAGGTGTGTCATTTTTGTATGGCCGATTCGCAGACATGTGAGAACATCTTGTTCTTTTCTGGTCAATTTCAATGGTGAGATTCGCTTATTCACACTTGGTTTTGAGCATTTCAGTTTCAAGTCAATTTCATTCCAAAGAGTCTGCCAGTCAGATTCTTCTATGGTTTTATTGTAATTCTTCAGATTTTCTAAGTGGAGTGGTACATCTTCATGTTCGTTAGAGTTAGCAAATCATTCTAGCGGCCTTATCCACATCCTCGTTGTATTCATATAATTAGTTTTCTATCTCGAAATTCTCAACTCAAGGTTTCAGAAAGTAATCCCTTTCCGTTCTCAAAACACAAAAGTTACCGGTGAGAAATGTCTGAATTATAAATAGGTTTTTTTTAAAAAACATCAAAAGAAATATAGTCTTTATTACACTTCAGCAGATTCTCTGTTGATTTAGCTTTGTCAGTTTTCCAGGTTATGGAAACCAAGATTTGTTTTTAAGCAAACAAAAAGTTTCATCAAGTTTTCTTCGAAAAAATGAAAATGTAGTTTCTTTAATACTCTCGTCTATCTCATCGCCGGGACATACTAAGTCTTAAAAATATATCCATCATAAATTGAAAATGAGCAATTCTTACCTTATGCCATCCCTTCAAGGGCCACTTTCTCTTCTTGTGAAGATACCCGTTGAAAGGATTGGGCCTGGTCTCGAAACGCTGCCCGTCTTTGAGCCCCTCCATGATCTCCCATTCCGACCCCCTCCTGTTTTTCTTACGCCTCTTCTCATTTTGGTGGGGCTGATTTTGTTCCGTTGTGCTCTCAGCACTCAGGCTGTTTGTGTCAACACTGGCATCGGAGTCGCTAGCGGTAACAGCACTGTTCACTATCTTCAACTTTATTTTGCTGAGTTGAGGACTCTTCTTAGTATCAGACGTGGCCATTGTCGATGTAACTTCGACACTGAAATTGAAAGTAATTATTGTGGTTGAATTGAGTAATTGGGTGTGTTATCTTTAGAACATTGAAAAGACATTTAATAATGATTGGCGCACATTCAACACATGTTGATAATATTGAATTGGAAGTCAGTTACCATTTTCTTTCATATACAAAATTAAGCTGGGGTACACCACAATAACATACAACTATGAATCACCAATATCAAGGAAGAAACTAATAATATTTATGTTGCTCCCAAAAATCAATATTGTTAGTATAAGATAAAAATGAATAATTTAGGAATTAATTGCTTCCAAATTATTATTCGACCAAAAAATGTTGTTACAGAGATACAAGTTGGAACTAAAAACTGATGATGTAGAAAAATCTTATAGGATTTGTTTTATTGGTCACAGGAAGATAAACAAAATAATTCATGTCAGTTTTGCCACGTTAGCCAGAATGTGTCAGGGTTCAGGAAATGTTGGTTAAAATTGGAAAAATCTTATTTTTGTGTTGAAGTATCTGAAAATATCCAAATCTTCCATGAAGACATTATTTTAATCATATTGAGAACTTGCTATAGAGATAGATAGTTCATTATGCATTTGCTTATAACTTGAATAGTTCAGAACTTATTTGCTGAATTTAAGAAAACCGAGCAATACACTTTTCTCAACTTATACTCATATTATTGGTATCTAATTATAGTTACAAAAAATCATTTGAAATTTTGTTCATTAAATCTACTACCCAGTTTTTAAAAAACTTAAGGTACAAAATTGAAATCACTACAATTAGTTTCACATTTGGTGGTAGAACCTTTTCAGAGATATAGGAATTGAAATTTTATGTCTTGAGGATAAAATCAGCAGGCAGGTACTCGACAGGGACAAGAGTAAATTATATTACACCTCTAGCAAAGAAAGGGGCAGTCACGTTTTCGGTTTACATATAATTTTGGATTTTGAATGAAGTGAAAATATTACCAAAATTCAATAAACACTTTTAATTTTTTGTTAAATCAGATACAACTGATACAAATTAGTAGAAATGAGTTTTTCTAGAATTCGATATGTATATTCAGATAAACCTAAATATCAAAATTAATATTTTAAATACTGGTGCACTTGCCAATAATACTTGAGAGGCTGTGTTTACATAATCTATCCAAAATGTCAATAGGGTATATCTCTGAAAATTATTTATTTATGAGAAAAATCACCGGTTTTGAGACTTTGAAGCTCTTCAACTTCTACATAGTGGCTTGTTATATTTATGAAAGGAACAATTTGCTTGCCAACTTTGAAATAATGATTTTTTATCAAGGTTATTCTGATTTATTTCTCAAAGAGGCAATGATGTTACGTTTATGCAAATTGCGTGCTGTCATCTAATAAATTTAAAAAAGAGCAATACCCTACCTTATAATAAATCCCAAGAGTGTTCCTTATTTTTGCATAACAATACACTGCACAAAATCAACAAATTACCATCACAGTTCAAGGTTTTCGAATAAGGTCATTTTGGTTTGTTAGAAAAGTCAAAATAAGGTTTTGAACACCTCCCACCACTGCATCTCACTGATTCTGATTCACAATTTTGCAGTACTCTTTCTAGTTTTCGACGTTTCCTATTTGGTTTGGTGAATGGTGCAGTGTCAGTAAAGTGTCAGATTGTCAGTGTGTCAGTGAAAATAATTTTGTTTTTTATCTTGTGTTAATGTCACTGTCCAATGTCAACAGTCAAGTTAAATGTCGTACGTCATCTACCAAGAATAGAGGATAGAGGCACAGAACTATAACTAAGCTCTGTGGTTCAAAGCCATTAAATTAGGGAGGACCCACTGTAGCAAAAGTGTACATTTTGAATGAAGTGCTTAAAGTGCTTCACTTTCGTTATCTCACAGTAACTTTGTTAAAATATATTTACCAAATAATACTTGACTACGTGAAAAGTGACATTTCTATAAGTTCTATATCAACAACAACTCGAGTCGTACTTCACGTTCTCTGTTTACTAGTGGACACTCTTTCAGCTGAATCCCCACTTGAGATGATTTCCCTCACCTCTACTCTCCATACTACCAAGCCCTACAATTTGAAATTCTCAAAAAGTGAATGAAATTTCTCTAATTCTTCTTTTCAAAAAATCATTCAAAATACTGCACATTTTAATTTCTATTGGACCTTGAATTCAAGTAGAGCCAATAAGTTGACTCAACGTCGCCTTATTTATAATCAGCCAAAGGTTTTCAAATATGTTACAAATGAACCAAAGATGATGTACTCAAATAGTGAATGGTAAGAGGTCATCTGGAATAATCAAATAATGATTATATAATCATACAATTTATTTTTGAAGAGTAGCAGATGAGGTATCCTGGAAGAAGATTTTTAAGAATAATTGCCTACTCTCAAATCACCTTGAGTTAAATGACATGACCGATTACCAAATTGTAAAATTATAATAACATAGAACATACATCTGACTAATTTCATTCAGAGGGTTAGTTTGACTCAGATATACAATATGTTTCATGTCGACTTTTTACGCTTGAAATCCTTGGAAGTAAATACTCCAAAAATGAAATTCAATCGGCAAGAATACGCAAGAAAATTATGTATCACAAACACAAAATCTACTACAGGATAAATTTAATTGATATAATGTAGGCAAATAACAATACATGGTTTATAATATCTAGTTGCCTAGTTGCCGTTGATAGTTAAAATTATTCTATAGAAGAATAACTTTTTGAGAAAAAAACTTTTTGGTTTCACTTCTTCATCTTCATTTTGAACTGAATTACATTCTTCGTCCCTCTGGAAGTTTCTCACAATCCTTTATATGAAGATGGAGAAGTGAAAGCCAAAAAGCGTTTTTCTACCAAAAACTAATCTAACCCAAAAATACACCCATGCCACCATTACCAGTGTTGTTTCAGATGTTACAATGCTTGCAATTACTTTTCTCGTTTCTCTAAATATTTTTCAGTGCCATGAAGTGTCAATCTATTGAAAAAAATGTTCCCACACGAGAAAAATACACTCGACGTGCGTTTCGTTAACCAAGTTAGTATCATCAACAAACAAAATTTCATTCCTAGCAACATTATGAATTGGTTTTCTTTGTTACAGAATGCCTTTAGTGTGCAGAACTGAAGGGTGGTATAATCTTCCTGGAAATTTTGTCCAATTGTTAATGAACATGATGTTGATGTTGAAATAAAGCTAACTTGTTTGAAATGAAGACTTGAAAACCTTTCGAGGTAGCATCATGATAATTAGATATTCGATAATTCCAAAATAAATTTAATTCACTTCCTGAACTCTCTGAAGTCCAGTAAATTCACCGCTAATAATTACATGAAACAACCTCAACACAGAATATAGCTCAAAGTGTCGCTGGATGAATGTCTCTTCTGATAGGTATTCTGGTCTTCATACACAAGCACCTCTGATGAGTCTGATGACGTCAATATATACTATTCACAATTCAACTAGTGGCAGAAAAAGCCCCGATACAGAATATAGCTCAAAGTGTCGCTGGATGAATGTCTCTTCTGATAGATATTCTGGTCTTCATACACAAGCACCTCTGATGAGTCTGATGACGTCAATATATATATACTATTCACAATTCAACTAGTGGCAGAAAAAGACCCGATACTTGGCTATCCTTTGTAGGTGTTCAATTGTTGGCTCTGTGGTTGACAGGTTGACTCGCTATAAATCGTCACCTAGGATCGGTACGGAAGACACTCCCGTACCTTTAAAAACAGACATTTCGTTGGCAGATTTGACGCAGATGACTGCATCTGTCAGTGTCGCGCTGCACAGTTTTACATACCGATTCGCAATATATTTATAATACTTTACTTAATTTTTTCAGTGCCCAGTACTTCGTAATGCAACCGAGAAGCGCGTAGTTTCTTTTTCATAATATTTCATTACCTCATTATGTCAACGTTTCTCTCGTCAAATCAACAAACAAAAATAACCCAGATTCGTCGTATCAAATACCGCAAACAGCTCCCGAAAGTTTATTGAACGTTTTTTCCTCTCAGTTTTTTTAGTAAAATAAGTGCCAATATGCCCGTGGTTCCTTTGGACAGATTGCCATTGCCGAATTTGAAGGCATACTCGTTTGTCAGTGTGGTGGCCCTTTCTGTATGCGTCTACTACGCGACCCAGATCATCAAAGATCCGAATTGGTATTATACGACAGAATCTGAGGAGACATCAGAACACGCTGGTCCAGAACACCAGAATGGTACCGAGCCCGAAGGCAGATCCATTGGCCAGTTCGTTACAGATATTTTTACCATTATGATAAGAGAGCCAGTTTGTGTATGGGTAAGTTTTTGATCATGTTTGAGTTTGAATTGAATGTGTTCAATACATCTCTGTGAAAAAAAAATCTTGAGAAGTTCAGAGAATTGATATTGCACGAGTCGGTCCTTTCGAACTGAGTATGTGATTCGTAGTGCTTGGGTTTCACTCTCTGTTTGAATTGGAGTAATGGCAATATTATCAGAATTCAAGATTTTGAATTCAGAAAGAAGAGATCAAAATTCAAAGAAACTCAGAACAATCTTCTATTTCAGTCCTTGGGAAATACCCAATAACACATCTACAGATAGTATTACAATTATATGGAGAATTGTTGAAGTTGGTAGTTTCCAAAATTTCAGGCATAAAAAGAGAAAAAAATAATGTGTTTTCCAGGTGAATTGCACAATGTCATATTTTATCTTTTATCAAGATTATTCCATCAGTTTTTAAAGATAAAAGAGTATCAAGTTCAAATAGACTTCCATTGTCTAAAAAAAGGTGTTAACAGATTTGAAAATAAACAAAATGTTGATTATATGAATATAAATATTTCAAAATGAAATCTCAAAACATCCATCTCTCCCAACGTACCTACATTGTAGGTTCTGGCAATTGTCTGCCAGAAAATAACTTTTCCACGTTAATACCAAGATGGACATTGACTTATATCTGACATACATTTATGCAAGATACGTCACAGAGTGAAATTTTGTTGAATAACTGTGCAATATAAAGTAATAAGCCAAGAATTAAAAACACCAGAGTAAAAAAAATTAATGATCCATAGCATACATTTTATTCGTTCCATGTTCTGTTGAAGATAATATTACTAATGTATTACTAAAATTCTGGAAAACTCATTGATGGAAATTGAATGCATTTTTTTGCACTTTGAATATGTTAAGCTTGCGTTTCTTTCGTAAAGGAATGTAAGCATTGTGACAGCTTCAGTTTATTAGGGCATTTTGGTGTGGAGAGATACAACTTTCATAAGTTATCATAGATTACTGATGAGTATACAAGAACATACATTTCAAAGTAAATTTCAAGTGACCAGCAAAACTCCTCACAATCTTGCAGTTGTTCGTTCAAATATATCTTGACCAGAACTCTTGTGTGTAAGTTGCCAGACATGGATTAGCAAATTCTTTACTTTACAGTTGAACTATTTTTATTCGCAACTAGGCCTTGAGAGTTCTCCTACTTCAAAATTCTTCTCAAACTTCATACTCAATCATTAAACTGATGGTTTGTTTTAAAATATATAGTTTCGAATAAAAAAAAACATTTTTAAATGAAGCACCTGACTGGATAAATCTTGATATTTTTTCAAATGATTGTCACTTAATTATGTCACTTTGATTTGTAAGAATCTTGGTGAAGCATTAGTTGAACTTGTAAATAAATGATCATGCGTTCAAATCTTACCGACGGCAGTTTTTTTCATCTTTTTTCAACAATCAATTTTGAAAACATAAGAAATTCATTCACTGCAGAAAAAGGAAATATTTTCGAATTTATATTTATGCTTCTTTCGAAATTCAATGATATTAGTGTCATTCGGAATAACCTTCACAAATCTTATTTCAAAATATTCCTAATGTTGATCGATAACCAGGCAGACGTGGTCACTTGAAAGAGCCCACTAGATCACCTGATTTGATGCCTCAGGAGATACGATGAGGGTACGACAAACTATCGCAGTTCATTATAGAACTCGAGGATAGAAAAAGAGGTGCTTGCACAATAAAACAGACTTCTTTATTACCAGGAAGGTTATGATGAACATGCTGAACGTTTATTGGAATAAACTGGAAAAAGTTTTGAATAATTTTTATGATATTTATCGTTTGTGGTTTTGAGAATTTAAATACATATTAAACGAGGTGTTACAAGACGCCCCTCAAATTTTTCCTGACATTGATATCTTGCCCCTTTCCAAATTTAATGGAGTGTTTCGCTCACACTGTATGCGTCACAAACGAAGCAAAGGAAGGTTTTCAAAATTAAAACTGTTTCCTTTCTGTATAACATGATTCATGATATATTTTTTTGAAAAATATATGATTAACCAATATAACAGTTTGGAAATATGTATGTATATGTGAGCTGTTGAAAAATTAACCTAACCTAACCTAACCAATATAACAGTTTGGAAATATGTATGTATACATGGGCTGTTGAAAAAATAACCTAACCTAACCTAACCAATAAAACAGTTTGGAAATATGTATGTATAAGTGGGTTGTTGAAAAAATAACCTAACCTAACCAATATAACAGTTTGGAAATATGTATGTATACGTGGGCTGTTGAAAAAATAAGATGAATGTTCAAATTTCGCGGGCTCCGTTCACTCGATCAGTTCACAAGATTCAAGAGACCCATGAGTATTTTTAGATATTAGAATAATTTCATACCCCATACCATAGTTTTTTGTCTTTATTTGAGAAGTTTCCATAGTTTCTGTTAGCTTGACGTTAATCCAGCAGAATCCAACCAAAGATATTTCGTTTGAATCAGAGTACATCGTAGTCTGAGGATCATTTTAGGATCGAATTCCCTTCTACCACTGGCCTGGAAGGCAATGAGGCTGCTGACTCCCATGCAAAGGAGGGTGCTGCAAGCAGCTTCATCGGACCAGAACCTGTCATTGGCATCGCTCTAAGCACTGCCAAACAAAGATTGAACACCTGGATGGCAAGAAGATTTATGGACTTCTGGCAGAATCTTCGAGGATTGGTTTTTTTTTGTACCATGGGAGCTGTTTGACTTGTCTATTTAGCCAAGTCTCCAGAAAACACTGCAGCCTCTTGGGCTTATTGCGTTTATTCTCCCACCTTCTCATGACACTCATTCCATCAGTCTCGTTCCCTGTACTAGTTTGTACAGGTACCGTGTTGGATGTTCGTCATATTCTTCTGGGCGTAATTTTGTACGTCCATATATTGCCTGCCTCCAGTAATTTAGTGCCTCACAATCGCATAAGATGTGTAGAGATGTGTTTCTGTCCCTTCGTTGCATTATCTGCAGCTGAGGTCTCCGTTGTACAGCCCCATTTTATCCAGGTGTCCTCTAAGCGGACAATGACCGGTTAGTAACCCTGTAATTATTCTGAGCCGATCCCTGAAGTAGGTCTTCGGTTTTTTTCTCGGACGGTTCCCTAGTGAAGGTTCTACTGTGTTTGTTGCCAGGTACTTTTGACCAGTACTCTGTGTGCTTCTTATTGGTCCATGTCCTAATCTGGTTTCATACCAATGATTTTGGTACCCCCAGAGCTGGTTCAGGACCTATATATGAAGTTGATGATCCGCGTCTATCACACTCATCAGCTTTATCATTACCTGTGATTCCTGAATACCCTGGCACCCAGTACAAAGTTAATTTCAGGATTGGATTAATCCAAGGCGTTTATTCACCCTTCGAAATTTGATACCAAACAGTTGTTGGACTACAGTAGGGATGAACTACGATGTCTAACAGGCCTTCTTACAGGTCACTGTCATTTGAATCATCATATGCAGAGACACTGTGTGTCGCCTCTGTTTGGAAAATGATGAAACAGCAGAACACATACTTTGTGGCTGCCCCACTGAGGACCGAATCAGGTTTTTAGAGTTCGGCAGAGCCGTGCTCTAAACATCTGACCTGAAAGACCACTCACCATACAATCTAATCGGCCTCGTTAAGAAGCTGGGTTTATTTGGTCAGTGTGAATAGGTGTGAGCCACAATAAACCCTTGCGGTTTGCTGTGGATGGTCGAATAGACCCACTCACTTTGGACCTAACCTGACCCTTCTACCACCGACTTTCCAGGTGTGTTTTTTTATTATTGTGTTCTGCTTCACCGTTGAACTCACATAACCAAGTCGAAATCCTTCACCTTTTGGTGATTTTGAATTCTCAGAGAAATCGAAATGAATTGAAAATTTCAGAACTTTGATACCCTACTTGTTTTCTTTTCTGCTCGCTTTACCGTTGACGTCACACAATCAACAAGGATGTTATAATGGTGGTAATGGGCTTGTTTCATGATTTTTGGTTTATAGTTCACTTGATAGAAATTTCAAATTGAAAAACAGTGCACTTAGTTTCAGCTCTCTAAGTACCGTAGCTTTCTCCTAATTAATTATCAAAAATCGAATGTGGTAGGGCGGTGACGTCACGACCCTATTCCCGCTTCTTATTCGATTGACCAATAGGAACAATAGAATAAATCAACATTGCCAAATCGTAAAATTTACGAAGCCTATAATTATCAATTCAATTATGGAAGTGTATATGAACCCGTTAACGTTTCAATTAATGAAAAATAAAGTAAGCAAACAAATAAATATACAATGATAAGATCGCTCGAATCCACGAATTAAGCATAACAATGGACAATAATATTTGCCTTGATGACTGATATAGTACAAGTTATATCTAAATATGATGATAAATAGAATTTAACGAGCTGTATTTTCAAATGGTTTTCGAATGTTCACGAACCCTCATAAAATAAATCAATTATGCATTCATGCCACCCACCAAAAATAATAAATTCAACGTTACTGGTATATTAGCCATATTGTCATCCAGTCAGCCGGCGATCTTTGTTAAAATAATTTCAAAATGAATGTTGAGCCTAGTTTTGTTAAAGCTGACTTCGACAACTTACCTAGAGTCGATTTTGAAGTGAACGATGAATTTTTCTTGAAAAATTTGCAATACTTTGGTCCCGAAATGAAGAATGAAAAATTGAAACGGTAGGTGGTATGTTTAGTAGGTCCCTTTCATTTATATGACATTCATTTCAGACTTTGTATTTTATCGAAGGATGGAAAGTTTTGATTTAATTTTTATTTTAGCTCGGCCAAGGTAGTAATGGTAAAATTCAATCCAAAAATAACCTGAATAAATATTTTTTGAATGTAAACTAATGACACGGAAAATGCAGCAAAATAGGACCCGCCGAGACCTACCTTTTACAAAAAAAACGTTCTATGCCAAATGCATCCAGGGCCAAGGCCGTAGGCGGA